AATTATAAGTAAATATATAATTCTGGTTTTTTTTGCATACTACTGTATATAAAAAAACTAATATAAAAAATATTTTGTTTTTTGTTTTTTATAAGTATTAAATTAAAAACTTATATTTGAAAACTTAAAAATACTATTTATTATATTATTAATTTATAAATCTAATAAAAATTAATTATATTTTAAATGATAAACTATTTATATAAATTTATTATATAATTTAAAAATAATAATAAACTTGTAGATCAATACTATATAAATAATATTCTTGAATTTTCAAATATATATTTTTAATTTGATATTTATAGAAAATAAAATATATAAAATTTTTTTTATCTAAGTTTTTTATAAATATTATATTTCTAATAAATATTTAAATTTTGATTAAATTTAGTTAAACTATATAAAATTAAAATAAAATAAAAAAGATTATATAAAAAAAATTTTTTTTTTTGATTTAACTTTTATAAAAACCTATAATTTTAATTAATATAATAAACTTTATAATAAAAAAAAATATTAATTTGAAACTATTTTAATTTAGTATTTGTTTAAAAGAAAATCATATACTGTAATTTATCATATAAATAAAAATTACAAAAAGTATTGAATAAAATATTTTAATATTTTAACTATTTTTAAAAATTATATACTTTTAATAATTACTATTAAAATCTAGATTAAATTAAATAATTTATAAACTAGTAATAAGATTTTTATCTTTTAAAGATTTTATTCAGTATATGAATTTATTCATATAATAATTTAAAACCAATATACTAAACAAGACTATAGGTAATAAAAACAAATTAACTTAAATAAATCCAAATAGAATGTAGTCAAATATAAATTATTCAATAAAGTATATATGTATTGATATCCTTTTATCTTTTTAAAAAAAATAATTTAAATAATAGAATATACAGTATGTAAAAGTTTATTTTTTTCAATTCAATTATACTATTTGACATTTGAAAATTTATAAAAATTTAATTATAATTACATATATGTGAAAAAAATTTTTTATGTTATGATAGTGCTGTTGTAAAAACAAGCAAAAAATACAGCACGTGAATTGAAATAAAGCTTGCTTCCTTAAAAAAAATTTATTTATAAAAATAATACTACTTACGAATTTAAGAAAGAAAATTCATTTCGAATCTCATGAGATACTGTAATATGGATTACCGATTTTTTTTTTTATTTATTGAAGTAAATACAGGTTAATAAATGCCGGGTATTTAAAAAAATTTAGGGTATTAATCACGGGATTTCTTGATCGAAAATTAAAGCTCTTCCAAAATTGTCTAATGTACTTTGAAATTTTAGAAAATCTTTAAATGTTGGTTTTTATCAGAAAATGCTTCCGAATTTATTACGATTGTCATATGCTGCTTCATTGCAAGTTACTAGATCAAACAACTTCAAAAAATTTTGTTTACAAAGTACAGAAAAGTCAAGAATTCTGTTAATTCAACGAACGCAACATTCTAGAGGTATGGAGGACTTTCCTCTCGTCCTACATACAATAGTGAAATAAAAAGTGAATTATCGAATCCTATTTTTCAAGGAACTAGAATTAGCCGAATAACACAACGTTCTCCTGGAACCTTTCCCAGGAATTCTCCAAAAGAAAACGCATCAAGAAATGAACAAGAAGAATTCTCACTCGAACATGGTCATCAAGCACCACAGATAAAAAAATATATCCCACAAGAAACATTAACCCCTGCACACCCCGCATCGTCAATATTGCGAAATTCTGTGTTGGTTGTGGCGAGGCAAATAGAAATGTTGAATATTTTTTTGGTAAATAAGTACCTTAAACTGTTCATGCCATCGCTGCAGTTAATTAAGTTGTGATCGTCTTTTTAGGGTTTTGAACAAGCAAATAAATACGCGATCGTTAATCAAGATGGCAATTCTGTGGGTTATATTGCTGAGGAGGAATCATTTGCTTCGACTTTATTAAGACAACTTTTCCGCACTCATAGAAAGTTTTCCGCGGTGATAATGAACCCCGAGGGTGAAATAGTATTGAGAATTTATAGGCCTTTCGCATGGATAAATTCACGAATATTCGTCAGTGTTGATGAAGGGAAGTTAATTGGCGAAGTTCAACAACAATGGCACATGTGGCGTAGGAGATATAACCTATTTAACAAGTAAATCTTATAATTCATTATTTGATACTTATTCAAAACAAAAAAAACTAAAGCATATATTGGAATGGAAAGGCAAAAACAATTTGCAAGAATCGATGCGGGATTCTGGGCGTGGAGCTTCGATATTGAGGATGAGAACGGAGGTATTTTGGGATGTGTAAACCGAATATTTGGAGGCTTTGCAAGAGAGGTAATGTATTTTACAATAAACTTTTACTTTATTATACGGGAGGTAGTAGACATAAGAGTTCTATTGAAAATTAAATATTACTTTTGTTTTTAGATTTTTACGGACACCGGGCAATATGTGATCGAGGAAAGATCTGCATCATTGTCGTTAGACGAACGGTCAGTTATTTTGGCGGCAGCAATATCTATTGACTTCGACTATTTCTCAAGACACTCAGGGTCAGGGTCGTATGTATTTCTAACTTTGGATAATGAAAGTGAGGTGCACGTTTATATGCTTAATTAATTTTTTGCTACATTAGGTCATTTCACTTTCCTTTCTTGGGCAGCAGCGAAAATGATGATAGCATGGATGGTGATGACGATTGATTTTCACTTACAGACTTCATGAACATAAAATACAAAAGTAGTTTGTGTATTAAATTTTTGCGACATCCAACTTTTACTCTTGCTCCTATTTTTTTACACTCACACTTGTTCTTCTAATATGTAAGAAATTCCTGTTGATCTTAGATTCATTCAATTTGTTCCAAGATAAATAAGTTATACTCGATATTGAACTCCTTCAGAAATCATAATATATTATTAATGATGGATTGGTGTTCGAGATTTCATCCGTACATTCCCCATCTGGCGCTTTCCATCCACTGGCAGGATGATCAATTCGTTGAATCGAAAAGCGTGTGGGTAACAACTGAAAGTAAGCGTATCTTGATCGATATGTTACGATCAGTGTCGTATAATTATCCTATTATCAAGATGGGACGAATCAATTCAATTCAAATATCATTATTGAAGAAGAATTTAGAATAATACCTTTAATAACAATGAACAATAACCAACTTCTATTCTTCGTGTCATTCTTCGAACATAATATCGAATAACGCATCCTCAGGATCGTTTTGCTGCGGCTGATTTAACTTCCATAAAAGTGTCGCCGTGTCTGTAGAGTTTCTTAACATGCAACGCTCTCGATGTTGTGCTGTAATATTTGTATCGTCTATTTCAATGGTCAAATTCCCAGTCTGAGGGGTCATGATGGAACTATTATTAATTTCATGGCAACTCATTGGGAAGGAACTCCAAGAATCCACGTTAGGACAAAAATGATTATCATCTTCAAATGCATCAAAATCTAGTAATTCAGTATCGTCATCATCATCTGGGACGACATGCACGTCGTTAAAATCCGAATTTCTAAAATAATCAACATAATCGACGCTTTTTTCAGATGAGTTCAATGTTGTTTGACTCTCGACGTCATTAATACGGAAGAAATCTTCGTCTTGCAAAAAATCATCATCGGAACTAAAAAGCGACTCAAAGCCAAACTCTTCCAAGTCGTGTCGATCACAGTTGTCAATATCAAATGTTGAATCGGTGTCAGAGGAGATTTCTTTAGTAAACTGTTCGTATTCTTCATTGTTACCAATATCATATCTTGCTTGCAGTATCTTTGGACTCTCGCCCGAGTATACACATGGCGGGTTTTGATCATGCGCAGGAATTGATCTTGACTTTACTGCATCCCTGGAGGTGAGATGATTATTGGATAGCTCTTCGTCGCTTAGCAAAGCCTAGTAATGATTTGACGAATAACAAACATCATTTCATTGTTTTTACATTTAGTAAGCTACAAAAGCGATGACAAATTATATTACCTCCGTGAAGGAAGGAGTAGGCACTTTGATATTTTTTGCAATAAAGTATAGTCCGTTTGTGAGGGCGTTTTCGGTGAGTTCCAGCGTTGATTCTGTATTATTATTATTACAATTGGGTGAAAGAAACGATAAATTTGTACGGCTTTGTATTTGCTGCATATTGAAAAAAAAAAGAACGAATGAATATGAGAAAAAAACCGTTTTTCTTAACACATAAAACATCAAGCCTACTTGGACAAGGTCAACCATTTTTGACTGAAAACTTTCATTTGGACTATTGTGAATGATTCGTGTTAAAGATTTTGAGACGACCGGAATACATCGTGATATAGATTGAAGTTTCTATACCGACAAACATCATTAATTAATCAACTTATTATAAAGAGAAGACAATAACATTTATTAATATATCACTCACGTCGTAATAACCCGGAGAAAACACCAGCGGATACCTATCGATCAACAAGTTTTTCATCAAGCTGTTAAACGCTAGGTCGATCGCTGCGACTTCCAACGACGACACACACTTCTTTTTACACGTGAGTCTCTGGCGCAGTAATTCTACGTGTGTGATGCTGATTTGTCAAGGAATTACTAAAGACTACAAGATGATGAACATCGCACAAAAATCTTAATTGCAAAAGAAAGGATATCATCGTTGCTAGTGATCCAATTTAGAATGAATGTCAATTGATTCAATGTTCCGAAAGGCTGTTGGAGGATCGAATCTTCGGTAATTGATGGTGGCGAACATTGTTTGCCCGAGGCATAGACCCAATATTCTAATATAACAAAGATCAATATGTACGCCTAAATTTTTAAAATATATATACATGATTTATAACTTACGCTTGTTAAAGTGTCGATGCTTCAGTTTAAGTTCGGACTCTATACGAGAAAATCCAAATTGTCTCCAAAACTTTAAAGTATAAAAAAATAACCTTTTAAATATCATTTTGTTTCGATTGATATTCCATCTTCGAAACTACCTCGAGTCGACAAAGACGTTTTAAGACTATATTTTCCTTGGGCGTATTAAGACCGAACAGTTTACCGTCTATTCTGTTTACAAAGTGCTTAGAGGAGAAACTGAGTCAAGGAGATAGCGCGTGACCCGCATCATACTAGAAAATGTACGAGGTAAGGATATATTGACAAGAAGTTTTCCTCCAGATAGTAACACGTCCATTTTTTTCATGTCTTCCTCGCTAAGTTGTCCCATGGTAGGAAATAATTGAACGTTGTACTCGATATTTTGGACACAAGTCACCTTCAACATCGTAAAGTGGGTTTGCTCTGTAGTTTTATGCGTCGTTTTGAGACAATTGGACGTCAAGCATATGGTCGATGAACGTTCCACTGTGTGATGTGGAATGGTCTGTGTTGCAACGTTTTTCGTGGAAGACATGATAGACATGATGCAAATGGTTTCGATAATTTATCAGATATTTGTTTAATTGATATAATTTTCACATGGATCATGAAATTAAACTTTTATTGACTATTGTTACTGGTCCGTGTATTGTTTCCGCTTAGACGAACTATGCTTACTTTAAGAAATCTTAATAAACACAGTAGATAGCACGGAGTTGTTATCCTTCTCTAAAGCAAAATAAGAGCGACCACACACTTCCTTATCTCGTAAAATGATAACGAAACGCATAAGTTCGTCTTCTGCCATTAGAAAAGTTCGAAAGTTGAGAATTCTTAAATACATAGTTCATAATAATAAATCACAATTTCATTTGTGGGATAATTTTGCACGTGATAATGGAATGCTTCAAATGTAGTCACGAGTCATGTTTGTTCATAGATTTTATGAAGCATTAAAATAGGTTGGCCTTCTAATCAACGCTTTAAAAACAATGGAATCATTACCGACAGAAACTGTACCAGAAGCTTCACCGTTGACGGACGCGGAAAAGGTATGTTGACCTTGCATTCGATGGTTCAGGTCAATATTTTCTGAATTCGTACTTAGTAAACTTCACCTTTTCAGATCCGATTAAAACGTTTAGCAAAGTTACAGCAAAATGTGGGTAGTAACCCGGCCGGAACTCAATCAGCTGTGGTGCAAGAAAGTTCTACGACTAAAGTTTTACCGAAAAAAAAACCGCAACCCGAAATTCGAGAGCCAGCTGAGAAGGTATAGCAACTTCCTCCGCAGTTATCATTGTTCGTAACTATTGAAAATATTAAATTTCGATTTTTTGCATTACCCCTTTAGAAACCCGTAACGACTCCCCCAAAACCTCAGCCATCTGTTAAATCCTTTGAAGATTGGCAAAATGAAGTTATATCCAAGGTTCTCCAAATTACCCTTGATGTAAGTCCATTGATGTTCAGATTGCATCAGTGTACAATGTCAAAAAGAAGATAAAATCAATAAATAACATTCTTATTCTCTAATTCGCGTGGTTCATATGTCGTAAAAGAAATCATTGGCTCAGAAAAGCCCTCATCAATTGATCTACCTCGATTCCGTTGTTCAAGAGTTGATCAATGAGAATCCAGGTAAGGATATTGTCTTGGAAATTTATTTATGTGCACGTTGGTTATTCACGATATTAATTTAGTAATTTGTCATAAATATAAGGAACATCATCATTTAAGTTGACAAAATCGATTCTTGACAATGCCATTGTCGCTCGGCTATCGATGAATCCTGATCAAATGAGTGACGATGTATTACTACCTCAAATACCATTATTTGATTATTTATTAGACTGTTGGAAGAGGGCTGCAGAAATTAAAAGAAATTTGGTTGCGCGAAGTTCGAAGGTGCGAATCATGTTTCATAATCACATCTATCATTAAATCACTAACCTTATTACCGTCCTTGAATGGTGACTTAAAATTTTTAAGACTCTTGAGCAATCAGTCTTCAACGAACGAATCCATGTTTTAGACAATCTCAAAAGTCTTATCATTAACTACGCGGAATTGATCATTCAATATCCCGAAATGTTTCCACAATCCAGAAGGTTTGTGCCCAACCTTAAGTTTTGTGAGAAAAGTTCGCCAATTCTCGACTAACAATGCTTTGTTTTCTTTAGTTTTATTAACCTTGGTCCAAATCAGCTTGTTCCAAAGCTGACAGCTGATGTCGACGCGCCCGAAAGATTACCTTGGGATTTTATTCAGGAATTTGTTGGAAGGGTCGATGAGGAAGGATTTGAGGAGGTTGGAAAGAATATATTGTTCGTTAACATTTATTAATCGACCGAAAAAAAGAATGCTACATCGTAATCATCTTCTCCCAGGTATTTGGGCCTTCCTTGACCGGAATTTTGGCTCAAATGCGAGAAAAGAAAATATCGAACGGGGATTATCTACGTCCATTGAACGTACAATATCTATTTTTATTTCTCTTACCTTAAACAATATCCCCATGATTTGTCAACTCAGTTACGCAATTCGATTTTTAGACATTTCTAACATTGACAGAAATTAAGTTGTTTTCATCAATGGTAAGTGTACTTATTTAATTGAGATGGTCAAGTTTGATTATATAGGTAGCTTTTCAATTTTTTTTTTTTTCTTTTGATAACGGGAATGCTTAATTATTTAAAATAGTTACCCAAATTACGATATTGGAATCCTACTGGTATAGCACCTCGAGCCTTTGAACTTATGTCTCTCTTGGGTCCATTCTGTCGAATTTCTGCCTTTCCCATGGATGAGGTCTATTAAGATCGAACTTTTTTTTATTGTTTATCCGAATTCAGAGATTAAAATGTTATCATTTATAGCCAACCATTGTTGAAAATTATTTTGGCAACGTTCAACAATTGCGTCAAGTTGACGTAGACTCCGCAATGCTAAGTCTAAGAATAGCCGTGCAGGGTATTCAAGTAAATAGTTTAAAAATTTTTTTTTTTTTTTTTTTTTTTTTTTTTTTTTTTTTTTTTTTTTTTTTTTTTTTTTTTTTTTTTTTTTTTTTT